TTATGAGAAAGTAACAATTAACATCTTTAAAATATGTGTGAGGTAGTGGTCTTCAAATTCAAACTGATCCAAATAAAAATTCCAAATTAAAAAAAAAACAAAAAAAAATCATAATTTTTTGCTGTGTTTGGATGCCCTTTTATAAAAACCATATGTATCATATACGATGTTAAATTGATTTTTGAAAACTGATCCACCCGAACCGGACCGCATGCAGATATTTTAATACCTATTTATTTTTCAATAGTATGGTATATTACGTTAATTTACAATTTCTATTATTTAATTTGTTTTAAAATTATTTATTAGTTTAGTTTATCTATTTATTATTAAAAAGTTATCTATTCCAAACATAACCGTCATTCTCATTTTGTAGTTTTAATTTTTTATATACTATATGTTATATATTAATCCAAACCTATTATTTTCTAGTATTTTTATAACATTAATATTAATAAAAAAATGTATGACTTATAATTTGAATATTCAAAAATCGATCCAAATTAAACCATTTGAAATTGGATCAGATTGGATTGAACTTTTTTTAACTAGTAATCTAAAACTGAAGTGAACTACAAGTAATTTCATATTTGAATTGGATGCATTTTTGCCTCAAATTAAAGCCAACCTCACCGTAAACACCCATATGTAGGAGTGTTAAATGCAACTTCAAGAAAGCCATGTAAATTGTTCATGTTTTGAGTCGACCTTATTGGTCTCGACCGACTACTCCAAATGAGCTACAATCCTCCTATGATCTTCCAGCGCACGAGAATTACCCTACATATGATCACATGAGGTCTGAACTTCAAGTTCATCCAACGGCTCCCCATGATCCACACCTGACAAATAGAAAATTTTTTATTCCTCATAAATTACATATAGAGAAGGCGCCAATCAAGGTACTAAGTTTTAAACCTAATTTTAATTCATTCTTCTTCCTGACTCACTAAATTTAACGTCTATCCACTGTGCTGGAATCTTTGATCTGCCATTAGCTTCGATCCTCACTCCATTTCTAGTTCCAATACGGAACAATGACGATGTTTGTGGAAATCAACTTTTGATTCTTATGTTTTTCAAGATTTCACGTTTGTTATCTGATTCTTCATTTTGTAACTCTCTTAAGTCACTGAATTAAGAGTGTTCAAAATCAAACATAAATTTTTTTTGCATTCAATTTTATCAAGCTTCAGTTCAACTCTGATTTCCTAAATTCATGGATCTCTGATTCCTACACATCCAAGTAATGATTGGATCCAAAGTTACCCGTTCTGCTGTTGTGCAAGAAGCGTTTACCACTGCTAAATCTCAAGCAGCGATTAATTAACCATCTCCACTTCATCTGTAAAATGTTTTGAATCCAAAAGTAAAGGTTCTGCTTCATTAAAATCTAGTTCATACTCCTCAAATGAGTGGATCTGTCCAATTGCCTCTGTTTGAACCCCAAGTTCCTTCCTTAGTTGTGCAACCTAAAGTCTTACCTGGTTTCCAACTACTACGAGAAAATGTTCAATTTCAAGGCTAACGAGTTGCTAAACAGCATGTGCAACATCGTTCGGCTACAGAAATCACAAGCGATGAAAGTAAGTTTTCTCCAACTGAGCAAAATGAAATGGAACAAATTGGAATGGAACAAAATTTAATGGAATATATATATATATATATATATATATATATATATATATATATATATATATATATATATATATATATATATATATATATATATATATATATATATATATATATATATATATGTGTGTGTGTGTGTATATATATATATATATATATATATATATATATATATATATATATATCTATCTATATATATATATATATATATATATATATATATATATATATATATATATATATATATATATATATATATGTAATATTTATGAAGGAATCTAATAAAATTTTCATTCCTCTAAAACTAGAGGGGAAAATAATGGTAAGTGATAAAATGGAATGAAATAAATATTATACTTATGGTAAGTATAGTAAATATTACCCTTTCTGCAATGAGATGCGTAAGAGGGCTCTTTTGTTTTGATATGTGAAGAAGTAAATGAAACTTCTCAACCGTGTGGCTGGGGTATTTATAGGCTTAACTCTCTAGCTTAGTCCTTCCTAAAAAATCGTTTCAATGCCTATATGCTCGGATAAATTGTGGGAATATGAGGAGTCAATTCTCCTCATTAATAGAGGGTGTAATTATTTTACTATACTTATAGTGACTTCAGTTATTTCTCAAGTATGTGGCTTGACACGTCCATTTGTGATTCCGGGTAAGTAGGTATTGGAATGAACTTGGCAATCCATGACATAGGTGTATTTGGATGGATTGGGTGATGTCACGTGATAGCACGCAAATATTTTATGGGCCGACCTCTAGGAGGCCAATGAGAAACTACCCTAGTTTGCAGTCTCTCAAGCACGAGGCCTGAAAGTGTGATGTGATAAAGTTAAGGCATACACGTTCAGAATTTCTAAACTTGACAACTTTGAATTCTCCATTTAGGATTAGCCATAAGGCCTTAACCTTGATCCGAGTCGATGGATTTAACTTCCCTTCTTGTAGGGTTTCATATTCGCATACATCGAGATCGACTATATCTATTTCTTGGCAAACCTTTTTTCTCTTCTCAGAAATGATGGTTACTGATAGAGATTTCTTCAGTATTGCTTCATGTATTCGTTGTGTCTCATGTAGGTTGCCTTTGACTACAACTGCTTTGCTTGAATCGTTGTAGTACTTCATCTTTAGGTAGTCGGGGTAGGTCAACGTGTTTAGAGTTATAAGAATGGTCGGCCGAGAATGTTGTTGTATACCATTTCACATAGAATCATAAAGAAGCGAGCATTCACAATTCTCTTATTTTTTTCCCTCTTCTAAGGAAATCAGTCAATATAAATATTCACATAGGCGAGTAGAAGATTCGTTGAACGCCAGGAGGCTCTGGCCTTCACACAACCTTAGATCTTGCTTTCTTAAGCCTAACACTATGAAAAACTGAGATATATCAAGTTACACGAACTTCCGTCATCGACGAGGATCTCTGATAAATTGTGGTTAGTGATGGCAATAGTAATAATCAATGGAAACGCCACATTAGAAGTTCTATCCACTTTCTCGTAGTATTAGAACCCTAAGATCGGTCTATCGCCCTTTTGCTTCTCAACTAGCAGCAACGATTTGAGAGAACCTTGTGATGGATATTCTTCTTTCTCAAACAGATTTTCATCGATCATGTCTCTGACGAATACTAAAGGTGATCTTGAATTGGAGAATTTTGATATATTTTTGCGGATGAGGTTTAAATTAGGGCATATCTGATGGAATCAAGAAAGATCTGGTTGTGAAAATTCACAGGAATCAAAAGTTGATTTTCCACAAACGACACTGTTGTGGCGTACGAGAACCAAATTTGTTGGTGTAGACTCTTGATGTGGTGGTGTAAATCTCTGGTGCGATTGCGCAGGGTGATCCTATAACGTTAGTGCTCCAGTGCTCAAGTTAATATATGAATGGAAATGGGTAGAACGAATTTTGATTAAAATCATATCTTAAACTATACACACAATAGCTTATATGCTATAGGTGATCATTCAACTTATTTCGCATTGGATCTGTGACCATCACAGAACAAGATGAAACATAAGTAATTTTGATGCAAGTAAAAGTAATTTTGAAGTAAGAAGAAAAACATTTTTTTTACTAAAATAAATTGTCAAAGAAAGATAAATGAAATACAATTTAAGTGTAAAATTTTAAATGACTATAATTTATAAACAAAAGAATTATTAAAGCAAAAACTGAATGTCTTCGTTATGATTTGAATTGAGGTAGCAATTAGATCCATTAAGGCAAAATTCATCTAATTCATCCATCAAAAAATCAATCTAATTCATCCACCACATAAAAAGTAAGTCAATGGATTGGACTAGATCCATCCATTTATATGCATAGATTGATTTAATTCATCCAACATATTTTAAAGATCCAATGAATTATTTTTATTTTTGTTAGATTTATTTTTTTTAAAATAATTAAAAATAAATTTTTTTAAAGAAAATAATTGATTTTTTTCCAACAAAAAAAACTTGAATTTTTCCAAAAAAAAACAAAATTTCTTTTTTGAAAAAAAAAGGATTTTTTTTAAAAATTAAAATATTGACTTTTTGGAAAATACAAAAAATTTGAATTTTCCCAAAAAAAAACTAATTTTGTTTTTGGAAAAAAATGATTTTTTAAAAAAATTAAAATTTCAATTTATTTTTGAAAATACAAAATATGTTTTTTAAAATAAAAAAAATGAATTATTCAAAAATAAAATTAAAAAAAATATATATTTATTTTCTCAAAATACAAAAAAAGTTGAATAAATGAATAGCCGTGCATTAAAAATATGTTAATGGATGAATTGAAAAATTTTTAAAAAAATTTAATAAATTATTTGATCTATTTATTAACAATGCAATTCATATCTATCCATTTTATCACTCTTAAATTTAAAACCTAAAACTATAGTAAATCCAATAGGTGAGACGATGTGGGACTCATCTAGATTTTAGAATAAGTTTGGTAGCATTTCTGTTATTTCTTGTTACCGATTCTGTTTAGAAATATTTATTATAAGTTTGTGTTGCGTATTGTTTGACAAGCTAGCAGTACAAATGAAAAACCTTCTGCTGTAGTTGACCTAAATTGTTGGTGATACAAATTAATTTTTGAAAGTAAAAAAGTTGGGCCTACCGCGTTTTTTACTAATTAAATCCGTACTCTGCCTGCGACTCTATCAGCATAAGCCATGGTGCTACCTATCACAAAACACTCTCTTTACGCTCAATTTGATCAACACGTTTATAACTTAGACCTTCGTTCAAATTCAAATTCAAATTCCAATTTTTTTCAAACCTATCGATTGTAGTTTATTTATAACCACAACACAAAGCATTAATCTCCCATGTTAATTCAAATTAACTACACTCAAATGGATCATCATGAAATCACCACTGTTCAAGTCAAAGGTAAGACCACAGCGTCTTCAACCAGTTCAAATGGTAAGAATGATGATAACAAGAAGATGTACAGAGGTGTGAGAAAGAGGAAGTGGGGAAAATGGGTGTCTGAAATAAGGCTACCAAATAGCCGTGAAAGAATATGGTTAGGATCGTATGATTCACCAGAGAAAGCAGCAAGAGCTTTCGACGCTGCACTTTACTGTCTTCGCGGTCGTCATGCAAGTTTTAACTTCCCTGATACACCTTTTCATTTGGATATCACTTCAGTTTCTAACGATCCACAACAGATTCGAGAGATTGCTGCTAACTTTGCGAACAAAACACCGCCAATTGTAATTGATGGTAATAATAATAATAATAGTAATAATAATGGAAATGATAATACAGATCAATCCAAAACTACGACTGAAATTATTGGCTCTTCGTCTTCAACTACTACTACTATGGGTGGTAATGGTGGGAACACCATAGATTGGACATTTTTGGATGTGTTGGGTGGTTCAAGTAATGATGCTAATATTGTAGGGTCTGAAAATGATGGTGGTTTCTATTCTGATCTAGAAAAGATGAATTCGGGTGAGTTATTCGGTTTACCACAGCAACTACCACTATTTGAGGATAATATTCAGAATGAACAAGTTACTAAAGTTGAAGGTGAAGATGATGTTTATGATGACCCTTTTTCTCATCAATCATTCCTTTGGAACTGGGACTTTTGATCATTCTCCATTCTCAGGGCTTGCTACCTACCTCTATAATTTTGCTAAATATTTTTACTACTTTATTTTACGGCCACTATTTTTGCAACCATATTCTATATGGTTGTTTCTTCTTAATAATAACAGGGTCTGGCTGGGTGTCATTCTCAGATCACAAAAGAAAAGACAAAACACACACACAAATAAATAAATAAATAAATAAATACAGACCGGTCGTTTTGTAATAAATGTTTTGTGTTATTGTGACAGTGTGCAGACCTTACCTTTTTTAGTGATAAGTATGATTTTAAAGTGCGTTTTTGGTTGCTTATGAATGCGATTGCAAACATTACAATTTAGGTTACGTATGTGTTTTAAAAACCAAATCACATTTAAAAGCCGAATCACTCGTCAAACATATTAGATATTAGACCGGATTAAATTGAATAATACTGTTAAATAAACCAATTTTTATAATAAAATTATATAATTATTAAATTGATTTATCGAATGAATCATCATTTACTCTTTAAAAAAATCATAATATCTATAATATTTTTAAAATATCATAACTTTACGAATTTATTCTTTAATTTAAATTTTAAATAGAATTCTCACACAACAAAATACAAATATAAATAAATTTTGAACAAAAGTTAATTATAACATAAATTAAATAAAATAGCATTTAATAAATTTAATTTTAAAAAGAAAAATTTGATTCAAATAAATTTTAAACAAAGCCTATTAATATTTTAATTTTAGTATTTTTAAAAAAATTATAGAAAAATAGCGTCATTTTGTTTGAAAAAAAATATTTAACTTGTTAGTTTTCCAAAACCATCGGTTTATTGATTTATATAAAAAAAAATACTTTTTAACATAAATTTCAAAATTATAAAAAAAAACTATGAAATTATATTGAATAACAACTTTATATTCTTAAGCACTATGAAAATCAGCTATAGATTAGGAGGATAACAAGATGATTTAGAATAAAATTATGTAGACTTCAATGTAATTTTTGTCCCATTACTTTTTCTTTTATAGTTTTGGTCCCATATAAAAAATCAAGCTTTTGATTTATTTTTTATTTTATTTTAATCCTTCACTAAATTTGGGACCAAGTTTTTAGCAACATGTCACTTGTTTTGATGGTGTCAATTTTTTTATAACAATATTTATTATTTTTTAGTGTTTAATTCATATTAAGACTAATTTATTAAAATAATAATAATAATAATTTATTAATATAGCCAATAAAATAACTTTAATATTATCAATAATAATGTTCTAGACTGAGTCAGAGGCTGGTCCACCGTCGGGCACGACCCAACTCAGCTTTCCGTCGGGGAGGGCCCAATGAAGACTCAATCCTTCAACGCCAACAGGAAGCTCTCACACGTCTCCCTCACGGTCTCCACGTGCTCCCCACGCGGGGACACGTCATTAGGTAATTATCCGCGTCCGAAAGAACAGGTCACCCACCTTCCGGAGATCACAGGGCAGTTGACCCAGGGCGAAGATCACGTGCTGGTCTTCCCTACGCCACGTAAGCCCTGACATTTACTCGTATTAGACCTTGCAATCCGACCCAGTGCAAAGTAATCGTTGGCCCATCGATGGGGACACATTATATATACCCTCTTTCACTAGAGGGTAAGGTATTCAATTCTCTATACACTTTCTCTGTACTTGCTCTTCTACTCCGTCCTTTACTTTGGCATCGAAGTACCTTGCAGGTATACCCCCTCCTCTTCTCCACCACCGGTGAATTAAGGAGCTCACGGCATGTTGCTGGCTGCTGATCCATTTATGATCCGGTAAGTTCAGTGGCGCTGTCTGTGGGAATCTTGCTTCCCTGTTCTTCCTTCTGAAAGAAATCCAAAAACCAAAGCACACGTCAACCTCCATTGATCATGGCCACCCCACGCAATGACGACAACATCCACGAAACCTCCTTCACCCTGTTCACCAGCGACGACGACCAAGACCCCAACGTGACCGTTCAAGTCGAGGAAGACGACGCCAGGGACGGACACATCGCCTCACCCTCCCCCGACGATGCGTCATTCAACGCCGCCTAAAACTTTGATAGCCTAGCTATCTTCCAACCAATCCATGTGCCGCCCAACGTCGACCCGACCATGGTGGCTCTGTTCACGGAAATCAATCAGACAAACCTGATGATCTTCCAACATAACGCGCGGATGTGAATGTTGAAAAAAGATCGACAATCACGCTCTCCCCTGCGGAGACATCATCGCCTAGTTTATTGCATCCCGTCCCCACAATAACGAGAGACCCGCCCTTCACCTCCTCTACGGAGGTTGTTGTTGCACCCCAAAATTTGACCAACCTTTTCTTAACTTGGTTTATGTTTCATTTCATTTTCTTCTAGCATTTACATTGCATAACATTTTTCATTAAATAGGGGATCAAGAGGTTGTGCATAGCAAGAGGAGGTTACTCAGAGTGTTGAGCCTAAGCAAGAGGTGTTACTCAAGCATGAATGGTCATCAAGTCACCAGGAAGTGGTCAAAGTCTTGTGAAATGATTGATGGATGTATGTGGGTCAGCTCCTAACTTGGAGGCTAATTGAAGAACATCAGAGGGTTGTGAATTCATGATTATGGATAGGGGATGTGAGAGATCTCATTGAGTGCTTTGAGAGCCATGTTGGAGCTTATTCAAGTTGTTGTGTCATTTGGAAAAAGCCACAGTTAAGAATGTTGCATCTAGGGTTTTCATCTGGTTAATCCTTAGTCAACTGTGAAATTGAAGGAGATTAAAACTCAATTCAAAGTTTCTATGGTCATGGGATGTTGTGTTGAGATGTCCAATATATCATTTCAAGATCAATTAATCAAGAATCAAGAGTGTGAGAAGTTACTAAATTAGGATTCTCAGTGTAAAATCCCCTATTTAGTGCCCAACTTCAAGACCACATATCTCAAGATAGAAGTCTCATCTCATCTTGACCCCAACATGAAACTTGTAGAGCATGTTTCTAGATTTCGTTTGAGTACTAGAAGTCATTCATATGATTTCTAGAATTCAAGTTATGATGCTGGCAAGTTACAGGTCCTTAGATGAATGTGATTTTGGTCAACAAAAGTCAACCAACTTCCAAGCCATTTTTGACATATAAGGATGTTTCTCCTCACCTTGACCAAAACATGAAAGTTGTTCCTCATGATCTTAGCTTTCCAAAGAGTACTAGAAGTCCTTCATCTGATTTGTAGAACTCAAGTTATGAGGCTTGCAAGACAGGGGTATTTTGGGAAAGTAAGATTATAAGTCATTTTCATTATAAGTCCATTTCACCACTTTACACACTTCAAATGAAAATCTTTCCAACATGAAACTTGCTCCGAATAGGGTCATTTGCCCAACCAAACATCAAGGGGTCATGGATTTGGCTTGGATTGGAGAATTGATGTGTAAATTTTTCATGAAGAAAGTTTAAAATCACAAAATGGAATTAATTCATTTCTAACCATTTCAAGGCATGTTTATGCATTTTTTGAGTGACAAGAATGTAACAAACAAGATGCCAATTTTGGATTTCATTTTTGGTGACATTTTTATGTGTTTTTCAAAGGCATTTTCAAGTGAAATTTCAACAATGCAATACCAACCATTTAATCAAATTAAGGAGTGATTTCAATCCACATGATCAGAATGAACTCCCAACAAGCTTTTTGAATAAAAAATAAGGTGAATTGGGACTGTTTGTACGTGTGTATGAGCATGGAAAGTGAGGATTGGGAAATTTCACAATTGACACAATTGAGCCACAATTGGGCCTCCATAGTTGCTATATCCATCATATTAACGTCTTAGGTCATTTTTGGATGGAAAGGAGGTCATTTTCGTGGAGAATTGCAAAAAACACAGTTGGAGAAGAGAGGAGAATTTTCAAAATCGTGAAATATAATTGGAGTAGTTTTAGAGCAATTCAAAGCTACAACTACCTTCCTTGAAGTTTAGTGAACGTTTCTGGATCATTTCAGCAAGCTTGATCACTTGTAGAAGCCCCAACGAAGAGACTCCGTTAGGTATGCTTCAAATCAAAAATTCTCACTCATTATGCCTTTATCTTGCGGCATTGTTGGTTAATGCTGAAGTCCTATGTTCATAGGCAAATTCTGGTGCATATTTGTTCACGTTCATGATGATTTCAGTGTGATGCGTGTTTTCTTTTTCTCTTTGATTTGTCTGATTTATGTATGATTTTTGAAAATGGATTGTGGATTTGTAATCTACGTGAGACGTAGATGATTTTAGACATAAATTTTGTTGGATTTGGTGAAGTTGATGTTCACCTGCGTTTTGTGCACGCCGGAGAAGGTGACCGGAGGGAATCCGGCCACCGTCTGCATTTTCCTTTTGTTTTTCATGTTTGGATGTTGATGACGACTACGTGGCTTTGCTTAGATCTATTGGATTGGTTTACTTTTGTTTGCACGACCTAGATTAAGACGTATTGTGTTCCACGTTTGACCACACATACCATATCACATTTAAATCTCACTTAAATACGTGGCATGCTTTGGTCCACCTAATTTGCATACTTGTTGATCCAACTGCCCATATTGTATTCCACGATGCACCTGGTTTGACTCACCACATGCAATCACCCAGCACTCACCGTTTTTGCTTTTTGGCTGATTGGATCTGGGCTTAAATTTCTGTTGACACCCCCTTGTTTGGGCCCAACTGGATTTACACGCATTCTGGTTGCTTTTCACACCCTGTTGTTTTATTTATTTTATTTTATTTTTTGTTTTGCAATTGTTTTGATTTAATTCCAAATAAAATACTCCCAAGCCTGATAAAATTTCACAAAAATTTATTTTAGACATTTTAGGATATCTTTTATTTTTAGGAAATTTTTATTTTATTTTATAGTTTTATTTTCAATTAAAAAAGGAATTATCAATTGGAAGTGTTTTAAGTGAGTTAAATCTTGACTTTGTGTGATTCTTGATTTGTTTCTCCTTTTCCTTTTTGATCCA